CCTTCTTTTTTTTTTTTTTTATGCTTTTGGTTTTACTTTTGAATGAAAATATGATACTAAATAGGACGCAATGGAGAAAAAGGATTCATGTAGCCGACCCCACATAGTGGGATTAAGGCTTTGTTGTTGTTGTTGTTGTTGTTGTTGTTGTGTAAAACTTTTCCAAGAATGTAAACTGAAAGCCGAGCATAATAAAATATTAGCTTTGTGTAAAACTTTTCCAAGCTCAAGTAAAGTGTATTATTGTGTAAAACTTTTCCAAGAAAAAAAAAAATCAGATTTGCTTGGCCCCAAATCCCCAATAATAGACTGTACAATATAAAAATGAGAGAGGAATATGCTTACTCGAATCAAGGAGAATTGTTCCCTAATTGTCCATACTAAAGGGCTATTTGGTAGCATGCTTTTAATAGAATCTATGGCTAGATATAACGAAAATCCAGCCAAATATGGAAAAAAGGGAAGTCAAATCCGTCATTCCGCTAAATCCAATTTTCTTCTCCATTTCAACGTAAATTTGGATTTATTAAATACGATCGGTCGTGGTATTTGATGGATTTAGCTTTAGGAAGAATAATTCACCAGCGAGGCTACTGTTACAGTGCCCCAAAGAGACGAATTCAATGCGATCGCCTCACTGTTCGCCATCGACTTCAAACGGATTGTTCCAGTTCTTCTGAATTTAACATCATCCCTTGCCCCATTTCACTTTTTCTACACATCCTAAAAAAAAATTTTTTTTCTTTCACTATGGAAGAAAGCTTTGCGAGCTCATTTATGAGAGTGGTCTCACAGCGAGAAAAAAAAGTAAAAAAGCTACAAAGGAGAAGTCAATCGGATGAACGCAATCCCTATGAGGGCTTCACATGGGGAGTTTCCAATGGAGAACAAAGACATTGGAGACGAAGTCAAAGAGGGTAAAAAAATAGAGTTTTGAGGAAAAGAAGATATTATAAATTTGGCAGAGTTCCTCGGCGCCACATGGCAGATTCAGGGATGGAAGAAAGAGGAGCCAACCATATTGTGGGATCTCATGCCAGAGCGGCATATGGGAGCCAAGAGGATTCTTGAGGAGATTAAGGTGGAGACATATAAGAAAGTTGAGTAGATTTTTAGGTTCTTACAACGTTTAATTTTTATTCATTATAGAATTTTTAAAAAAAAATGTTATTTTTGACTTTCAAACATATCATACCACAGCAAATTTTCTGATTTAAGTAGTTATGGTGTGAGCATTGTATTTCATATTTAAATTCTTTGCAAATCAATTGTTGTTAAATCTTAAAATAAAATGTCAAACACGACAAACGGATTTTACTAGATTTAATCTTAACTGAACCAAACACTATTCTAGATTAAGTAGCATCTGGATTTGAAAAATCCAGATTTGTAGGATTTACTAAATCATATTTTAATTAGATCTTGGTTGCAGATAAACACCCCCTAAAATAAGCAATAAAAGGACTAAGAATCAGATAACGTAATATGTGGATCCTTCACTTCAGAAAACAAAATAAACCGATTTATAGTAACAAAATTATTATGAAATTTTGTGTTCCTCGAGTTGAACTGAAAATATCAATCAAGCCATTCTTCGAGTTGAGGCCTTCAATGTAATTTGTTCACCATTTGAGGTGTATAGATAAGAGCTAACTCCTAATAATTTCTTTTCCTTGATGAAATTTTATATATATTTCCACATATTTTGTTCTGTCTAGCTAGACAGGATTCTTTTCAATAATAATAGCAGACTCATTATAGCTGTACATTCTCAGTAGTTTTCCTTTTATTTTTTATACATCCTCATTCATCTTGCAACTAAGATTCTAGATTCTCTGAGTAACCTTCTCCAAGATTTCTAGCTTGAAACGATGCTTCCGTGTTGCTACGTGCCATGACATATTACTTTTTGCTTCACTAATCACCAAATTTTCCCAAAGATAAGTGCAGCACCAATTGGTTGGGCTGTGTTCAATAATAGAACAGACCCAATCCACACAAGTAAATATTTTGAACTATCCTCTAGACATCTTTTCAAAAAATAATCCTTTGTTTGAAGCCATTTTTAAGTATACAAGTATTAAGCACAACCTCCATGTTTTCTTCGCATATTATTCACAAAGTGGCCCATCACGCCAATAGGAAAACTAATAGCTGGCTCAGTGTGAGGAAGGCAAATTAATTTTTCAACCAGCCATTGATATTTACACTTATTCACATTACCGTCTGTAGTATGTGGTTGACCCTCTCGATGGGGGACCAAATATGGTTTATGACACTTCCAAATATGGTTTATAACCCTTCCAAAGGTCCCTGGGAATGATGTATAGGCTTTGGTTAGATTCAATTTGATATGGATCTAAGGTTTAAGAAAACAAATTGGTCAGCCTAGGTCAAAACCCAGTCCAACCGTGAGTAGCAATTCCAACTACAAAATTCAATTGAGGAGAACTAGAAGGGTTTCGGGCCTTGAAATCACTTAAAAGTTCTTATAGGGATGAGTCTAAATTCAATTGAGTCAAGAATTGTGATGTTTCTTCGGTATATTTTAAAAGACAAGGCCTGATGAAGCTCTCATATGGTCGAAAATACAATTTTAAGGTTTTAGGCTTTAAAAAAGATATATGGATGAGAGTAAATGACAGGAAACTTTTATATGTCTTATTACAAGGCTATAGTTTGATTCTAACATTTTTTAAGGATGTTCAAGGAGTTTTAGCCTACCAATTGGCTTCTAGAACAAGAGTAGGTCTTAACAAAACTAGGTCTTGTTGAAGAACCGTGGTTGGCAGCTCAAACTAGGATTTGAGTCAAATTTTTAGGCAAATATAATGGTAAATTTCTTTATTTTAAGAAGAGTTGTGTTCATTAGATAAAGAACATAGCAAGAAAAAAATAAGAAAAAAATAAGAAAAAAATAAGAAAAAAATAATATACTCACACACCAAAGTGACTAGTTGGAAGAGAGAAACAACCTTTTATTGTGAGATTGGCTACCAAGCCAATCTCCTTTAATTTTTATGACTCAGAACATCATCACAATAACATCAAGCTTCTTTTTTTTTAATTTCAATAATTAAAATTAAAGGCTTTACGATAATATATATATATATATAAATGATAAAAGAGAGAGGTAAGGTAGTTTTCCAATTATGTGGATGAGGGGTAGTTAAGAATATATAATCACCCATAATCATCCTCCAGAAGAGTTATGATCAGCAACCGTTGATTGAAAAATGATTAATCAATAATTTTAATTATCAATGAGTTATTTCTATAAATTTTGCATTTTTTTTCTTATAAATTTGAAAAATTAAATTTCAAATTAAACAATTTGGGTTTCAAAAATTTAAATACTCAAATTTACCAATACATAATCTTATACAACATATAGTCTTAAACAATAGTTACAAAAAACCCTAGACTCTTTTTGCAGTTTGTTGATTAAGCACAATCTTCTTGCT